GCTCAGGCTTATATACAACCTAACTGATTATCTGTAATGACAAACAGGTGAGACATTAGAACTCTGGGGATGTGGAGCGTAAAAAAGAGAATCTATTGGCTGATGGAGATGAGGGTGGAGACATAGATTCCTCCAGAAATTAATGGGAGTTGTAGTGGTCTTTACAGTCCATGGATACTACAGAATCTGCTGGTTGCAAGGAACAGACAGAAGGATCGTCCTCGGCAGTAGGCGTGACAGTTAAATGTTACATATTAGAAGAATTTACAAACTTCTACCGTGATGGAAACCAGGAGTTGCGATGTCTACCACACAAATACTGCCATGTTTATTTACTATTCAAAACTCGAGTTTGAATACGTAATGTCAATGATGGTAAAACAGTGGTAAATTAAAAAAAAATTTGAATTTGCTTTGAATTATAATCCCATGTACCTCTCTGCCATGAATGTGCCTTGAAAGATGAGTTTTAGGCCAAATCATGATTTCAGGCATCAGGCATTGGACGTTTAATGACGTTTGGTTCCTATCACCACCAGTGTGAAAAATTCTAACAAGCCAAGTTTTTCTAGAACAGAGCATTTCACATCAATCAACTCTGAATGACTTTGTTTACATTGTAATGATATAGTTATACACAAACGTTTGAAAAATCAGAGGAATTTCCCTTTAATGTTTGGAATAGAATGTTAATATGATGTATCAATACTGCAAAAACTAAAACTCAGGCTGGCACTAGAGCGCTTTCAAGACCACTGCGCAAAAAAAGTGAGGAGAAGGCTTTGAATTCTCACTTGGGAAAGAAGAAAATGCAGAGCATACATATGGTGTTGGTCCGCTTTGCTGCTGCAAGGGCATGCAAAGGAGTACGATGCGAGACAGGGGAGGGAAATTGCTGCAGTACAGAAGCTCCAGAGCAAAAAGCTGGCAGCTGAGGCTGTCACATGGATGGCCACAGCATCCTTGAACATAGAGCTCTTAACCCATACAAAAATATATAAAATAAATAAATTAGCACTGGACATACTCAAACCCTATTGAGTAGATTAAGTGTCTCGTTTCTGCTCAGAGTCGTGATGAAAGATTCATTGATCCTTAACAGTTAATGACACAGCAGCACGTGGGACGCTACGCCAATGCACACGTTTAGAGATTCTGTCTTTGTCTGTATCCCTGGGACGTCTCTGTTATGCTTCTTTTTTGGAACTCTGGGAGTTCTCCAGTTACTGTGGAAACAGACCCTAAGGGCATGCAAAGATAGAGGGAGAGGGGGAGAGAGAGAGAGAGGGATGAAGGGAGAAGACATGAGCGGGAATACTGAAGGAGCTTGAGAGTGAGAGCGAAGAAACGGACTTCTCACGTTGGATAACAGGGGCACAAACATGCCATCCTTGCCTGTCATTTCAGTTACCCTGGTAACCAGCCAACAAACCGTGGGTTTCATTTACGTCACAGGAGTGCTATTCACACACTGAGAAATATGTATTTATATCACAAAGTATGTAAGCTGGTCTATTTAAGCCTTTTAATGATTTACGCAGAATTCAGAGTTTTCAGCTTTTCAGTTCCATTTCCTCCCATGATTGACAACCAATCTGTAAGCGTTTCATAAGCAATAGGAACTGTATTATGTGTGACAATTATCATTCCTCTAATCAGCATTAAAGGCCTACATACTACATTTTTATAGTGTTTTATTATTTCCTGAGGTCCACTAGTGATGTTTGTGTGGGTTTCTGTATCAAAACTAGGGATGCGCTGATATGGGAGGTGAGCCGATGCTGATACTTTTTATGTACAGTCTTTTTTTTTTTTAATATGCTCAGGTCAAATTACATGTTTTTTTGGTTTTCTAAGTGAAAATAAGCCCACATCCTCTGGACATGTCAGTTTAACACACTGGAAGAAAATAAAACATAAAATATAGAACATGTCATAAGTTTTACACAGGCTACTTTTCCCCTACACTTTAAATTCAGCGATACACAGTATTTGTGCATTAAAATGTGCAGACGTGTGTCTCTGTAGATGATGTTGACTTAGAAAGTCAACAAAACATGTCATCTGACTGTTTTTGCATTTGACTGTATCTGCCAAAGCTGATATCAATACAGAAATATTTATAACATGTAGAAACTGGGACTAAATCCACATTATTAGCATTACAGAAAAAATAGCACCGTAACCCAGCATCACTTCTGCTTTTCTGGTAAAAACAAACATGTCAGAGGTGGGCGATATGGCAAAAATATAATATTGTGATACTTCAAGAAATTTTCATGATACACAATATGCCACAATGTTTATTTTTTCAGATATTTGATCAGTTGGAACTGAGAATAAAGAACCAGCAGTGCTACATCTTAAAAATGTTATCAAAAACTAAGAAAACACAGTTTTGTATTTTTATTCACAAAAATGAATTCAAAACGGGCTGTTTTTGTGATATATGGTGTCTCGTGATATATGGTGAATGGAATGTGTTTACATACTACATCAGACTCACTCATTTTAAAAAAAGGCAAGGGAACTTATGTTTCAGGCATGGACACCTTAAATCAGGGGTGTCAAACTCAATCACTAAAGGGGCCCTTTAAAAAATCTCAACAAATCTGTGGGGCAGAGAAAAAAATGTTTTTATTTCATTTTAAATTAATGTTGTGCTATAAATCGAATTGGTCATTATTTATTCAAAATACACAAAAACCTTCAGCAGTAAAATATAGGCACTTGTAGTAGACCTTGAAATATTACATGAATACTTTAAATATTCAACATTTAATTGTCCCCTAGGGGCTTGGTCTTTTAAACCCCCCTATTTGCTTATACTAGACACCTGGCATCCTTTCTTTGCTTTAAGTTCATGAAGATTCGGGCTCAATTTCTGGTGCTGAGCTAACATCAGGTTTTATTGGTTGAACTGCAGCTGAAGTGCAGCTAGTGTGTTTGATTATATGACTGGGGTGGAACTGCATAGAACTGTGTAGAACTGAGGTGTAAGCACTGTCCTATAGATTGTTGTTGGTGTAGGAAAGTCAGAGTGCACATTGTGTTGCAGTGCATGCCGGGGACTGTAGTGCAGTGCACTGTGAAACGGGCTAATATTAACAGAAAATTAAATTACTTTGTGGGCTGGATGGGATTGTGTCGTGGGCCTGATCTGTGTTTGACACACTGGCCTTAAATGAATGCTAAACAATTTCCTGTGACACTCAGCTTGGGCAGTACACCCAGAAGGTGAAGAGGTGGGTGCTGTGAGAGCAGATCATGATGTTCAACCAAGACTAAACCTATGAACTGACTGTGTCCATTTGCACAGGAAATGTGCAATTTCCTTACAGATGCATTTACCATATTTGTAGCTGACAGTTTTACATTCTGACTAATTTCTGACTCAGCCACATTAATGCGCACATGGCATTACAACTGGACCTTCAAGATGGTCCTGCCATGCTTCCAAAAACAAACTGAAGCTTCACGATCCCTCAGCTGGCCCATATCGTTGGTGAAGGACCAAACGTACTATTTCTGACCCTCGTTTAAGCCCCAATCAATTAGGTAACTAAACAAAGCAAGACTAATGCAGATCAAATGCAGGACTTTTGGCAGAACCTGGAGGTTACCTTTAAAATCTTCATACATGTCAAAAGAAAACCTCCTGTCTATTATAAAATCCTATTTCCATCATTTCTGCTGCTTTCTATATGCAGATGTTCTATCTCAATGGAAAAATGGTAGAAGCTCAGCAAGTAGACAGCAGGAATCTGGAGGTAATAAATAAATGTGGCTCCTTGCAGACTTTGAGCTCCTCCATTCAGAACTGTGAATCAGGTTTGAGGCCCATAGCCTTTCTTCACCCTACTGAAAACCAGCACAGGCCAGCAAGCATTTAGTGCTGGTCTAAGCTGGTCCTTGGCCAGCATGGTCATGCTGGTTGACCAGCATACCAGGATCAAAATACAACAAATGCTGGTTTTGGTGGTGATCAGCATCATGTTAACTTCTGTTGATGATGACTAGCATGCCAGCATCCAAAACACTACATGCTGGTTTGCCGGTGACCAGCCACGCTGGTCTATGCTGGTTTTTCTAGCAGGGCAGTGTTTCACAGTAGCCACTCTGTGGCCTTGAAATCTCTGTAGCTCAACGCTTAAGCCATGTTCCTCCTTAGATATTTCCCCGACACACAGCCACCACTGGCCATCATTACACAAGAACACACGAGGCTTAAGTCCGCTTCTTATTCGAATTTTCCCGTTCCACCTTAAATGGTGCAGCAGTTACATTCTGGCACCTCGGGCGCCAGAAAGTAACTGCTGCAACATTTAAGGTGGAACGGGAAAATTCGAATAAGAAGCTGGGAAATAGGAAGCCAAGTTCTGTCAGGGCTGGATGATTCACTGGCTCCTACAAGCCGTGCCGTTTCAGCAGAATCAGTGGCCATCGAAGGCCACACGATCTAAAAGAGCACCAAAAGCAAACATGACCACATCTCTCAGCTCTCAGCATCCAAAGCTATGTTCAAAAATGGTGCATGCTAAGCTTTTAGCGTGGCTTAACGATTTCACAGCCTCTGTGGCATCAGTGGTAGTGCCCTGTTGTTTTGGTGGGGAAGAGGACGGTCTTTATTTCTTTTCATTACTTTTGTTTCCTTTTTTCATACATTTTTTTTTTATTTTTGGAGGAGGAGGGTCAGCAAAAGGAAGGCCTGCCGAAATAGCAAACCGCTCGTCGTTAGCAATGCATGACAAAAATAACATCACTCTCCAACGGCATTGTCTTTTGGATGCCTGTGTCCTTTTTTTCGCTACCCTGCCGTGACTTGCCCGCCTGAACATCACAGTCCATCACACAAAAACACACTCAAGGACGCCCGTGAAAGACACTGGACACCGACTGCGACACACGTAAGCGAGTCTGATTGAGGGAAAAAAGCACAGGGGAGGAATAACATACAGGCTCTGAGACAAAATGACGAGGAGTGGATGCGCCGTCCTTACCTGGCGACTGTGCTGCAATGTCCCGAAGACGTCAGTGATAAATCATAGGAAGCGAGAGGAAGGCGAGGGCTCGAGGAACAGCTTATGTTCTAGGCCATGCCAGTCCCGGAGCATTTTGTCTTTTCATTTGCATGGCTTAAATGGGAGGATGCCACTGACTGAACGTGCTGTTATTGCTCTCCCTTGCAACGTGTTCTGACGCACACGCACACGCGAGCTGCTTTTTCCCACACCCGTATTCCGGCAAGCCCCGCCCTCCTGCGCTAGGATTGGCTAAAAAGAGAAAACAAGCGACGTTATAACAGTATTAATGTATAACAGTACATACAATTAATTAACCTTCTGTGAGCATGAATTTCATTTTTTGGAGGAAAAATATTTCACCTCACTTTTTGGAAGTTTGGGGGTCTCTGTTGATATATCAACCATAGAATTTGGCCCTCCCATCCCCCTCGAACACCAGAAATTGGTTTGTTGCCTCAAGGCAACAACATGCTACAAGGGTACTAAAACGTCATTTTTTCTGTACATACACTACATGCGTATGACGGTTTAGCACCTTTGTAGCAGGCATGAGAAAACCAATTTCTCATGTCGTGGGGCAAATTTTATTGGAAGAAAACAAGCAATATTTGTAAAATGTCCATTTTTATTTTAACAAACATCATGTTAATTACAGTACAGTACAACCAAATGATTGTGTGTGTGTGTGCACACGTGTGCAGTGAGTGGGGGGTAGTCTGTATGTGTGATTGTTTGTGTTTCTGTGTGTATGAATGTGATTTTGTTGTTAATTGTTTCAATCCCAGTATTTCTCTCTTTGCAAAAGAGATGACTATTCTGTGTGAAACCTCAGGAAGCAGTGAATGTGTCAGATAGTCCTCTTCACCCTCCCAACACACATGTGCACACACATTGTCACCTACACATGCACACACTGGACTGGCTAACCCTTAATTGACCCCTGACCTCCTAACTGTTTCTCAGACTCTCATCAAGCTCACTGTACTCACTGGCAGAAGGAATGACCCTAATTGATCACATTCTTTCCTCTCATAAAATGTTCTTGTATCGAGTTCCTGTAAATATTAGTATATGGTTTGACTATTATCACACTTATACATCTCATCACTCAATTCTCCATCCTGGTCCTGGGTATATCTGCTCCATCACACCTGATTCATAACATCAACTGGGTATTAACTGCTGCAGCTGCTAAATAACAAGCTGATCGTTTGAATCAGGTGTGTTGGAGCAGGGAGGCACCTAAGACATATCTTAGGACAGGGGGTCCCCAGGACCGGAGTTAAGAACCACAGTTTTAGCATGATTGCCTCAACAAAAGTGGTCTAACTGCATAATGTTGTCCTGAGGCAACAAATGAAGAAACACTGTTTTAGTCAGCAAATGAAAACAAAATATGTATTTAAACAACTATACAAATATACTTCTTTAGATTTTTCATACATATATGTAATTTTATTTATAAAGTTATTTCAATTTAAACATGAAGAAATTATAGTTATCTTACTATAGTTGTTTTGCTAGCACTGTGTCCCATGCAGCTTTGGTTCCTGAAAGGATTGCTCCATCCCCAGGAGAAATGTCAAATCCACTTCCTATCCCCCATTTTATTGGACGGAGACTTGTTTTGTGACATGATATTTAATTCTATTTAATAAAAAAGCATAATAAAATATGAAGGGATGGTGCTATAACTCAAAAGTGATTTGTTGCCTGAGGGTAACACCATGTCAAAGAGGGTTAATATAATATATCCAATATTATTAAGCATTATTAAACAATCCTCATTTCCAAAAACATTGGGACAGCATATGAAATGCCAGTAAAATTTAATTCTATTTGGCCTGTACTAAATTGAAAACAGTACAATCTATCTACCTGTTTGTTTGTTTGTAAATATATGCCCAAAAGTGATGCCAGCAACATGTTACAAAAAGGTTGGCACAGAATACTGTTTACTACTGTGTTACATAACTTTTCCTTTCAACAACACTTAATAATCATTTGGCACCAACTGATTTGGTTTTGTGATTGGATTTTTTGCCAGTCCTTCATTGTACATGCCTTTAGCTACATTACTGTACAGGGTACTAATTATTGTATTTTGCACTTAAAGAAAAGATGAGATCTAAGTGACTTTGACCATTGCAAACCCCACCTTAGATGGAGTGTTTTGAATATTTCACTCCCAGACAGGGTACGTTGTGTATTTTCAGAAACTGCTGATCTTCTGATTTACACAGAATGCTGCAAAATCCAGTGAGCATCAGTTCTATACGTAAAAGTGTCTTGTTGATGAGAGAAGTCAGAGGAGAATGGCTGCACTTATTCCAGGTGACAGAAAGGCTACAGTACTTGACTAACCAACACCTGTGATCAGCAAAGTATCACTGAACATGTTGAACCTTGAGGCTGATGGGCTACAACAGCAGAAGACATCACATCAGGTACCACCTGAGTGGAAAAATGTTCCTGGTCTGATGAATCTTGATTTCTGCTACGGCATGAAGATGGTAGCTTGATACTGTAACAATAGAATACACTTTTTGGTGCTGTATAGAACCATTTTAAAAAGGTTCTATATAGGACCATATACAGCACATTCCCCATCAATCCATCTGAAGAGCCATTTCACCATGAAAAGAAACATTTAAGCATGAAATGGTTCTATATAGAACTCATGGTTCAAATAGAACCACTCCCTTTACTAAAGAACCCTTGAGGAACCATAACTGCGTACCCAGTATTAGAATGGTAATACAATAGAAAGTGAGGATATATCATATTACATTATTTTATTTTTGTTGTTTTAACAGATCAATTGCTAAACATTCCCGTTACCATAAAAACCTCTTGGTCACAGATTTAAGCCCATTCAGCTGAGTTTCTGTTTGTTTCTCATTGTCCATCTCGGCGGACTGCTTACGAGTGTGATCAACCAGCCAACCCCAGCGCAGGAGGGCGGGGCTTGCCGGAATACGGGTGGGAAAACAAAATGCCGCTGCTGACTCCCTGCCTGTTCGCTGGTTCTGCTAGCTGTGAGACGGTGGTTTTGTCCCCTACGCGGACAATGAGCAAAGAAACACAATCTCAGCTGCTCTATACGCTCGAATCTGTGATCGTACGAGTCTTGATGATTACAGGAGGGGTCTGTATTTGATCTCGACCCTAAAAAAGCAGATAGATCTCACCAGATTGTAGAGAAGACTTGCAATATCGACTAAGATAGTGTTTTTATAATAATAATAATAATAATAATAATAATAATAACAATAATAATAGGAAGAAGAAGAAGAAGAAGAACCCATAAAATCTGATATATGATCAGGCTTGTATTTCCAAATAGATGCACATATATGTTATGTACACATATATAAGCATCAAATATTTTGTGCATGTGCATAATATATGGGTCGCATATATGTGTCTGATAGGTGGGTGAACACATATATGCATGATATATGGATCACATATATACTGCCTGTCTGATAAATGTCTAATACAAGCACTGAAAGATTTTTTCAAAGCAAAAATGGCCAATTTCAAATAAGTTAGCTTATATGTCCGTGTATATGTGACCAATATTATATGGATATAAAGGAAATCCATATATATGCAAATATATGCTATATATATATATATGTATGTATGTATATTATATTTTTAATAACATCATACACATAGTACTTCGAATGATGATTACAATGACGATGATAATAACGGTCTTATTATTGTGTTATCTGTGGTTATTATCTGCTCCCCATGTGTCCAGTGTTTTACACAGAGCCCACGCCAAATGCTGATTAGTCTGAATCAGTTCTGCAGCTAATGATGAATGTGATTTTCCTCTGAGAGTCTATGTTTCTGCTCCAGCTGGACTATTTTCAGCCTGTTGGAGGCGAATTTTGACGTAAACAGCGCAGCACGCAATGTTCACATTTCAGGAGAGACCATGAATGAAAGATTTTTATGGCGCAGGGCATTTTATTAGAGAAATGCGCTGCCTAAAGAAAGTCTCAGTTAATATACACCTCCAGATTTCACGCAATTAAAACATCGCTGGTGACTCTTGACTGTGAAGCTGTTTAGATCAGTGCGGCTTATTCACATTCAAATTGGCTCTGTCTTGATCTTTCTGCCTTCTGGATTCAGATTCAGGAAAACTTGCCTTTGGCTCCCTCTAATGGTCATAAGGCGTAACCACAACAGAAAGATCCTGTGAAGGGGAACTCCACCATTTTTTTGTCATTTTTTTAGCATAATTACATGTTTAAGACGTAAAGAAGGTTATTCAGAGTGGTTTGAGTGGCTTGAAATGCTCCCTTGTAGAGAAACTTACAGAGCCAGAATTGTTCACGGTGGTGGTGATAGGAACCAGATGTCTGAGGTGTTTAATGCCTCTAGAATAGTGGTCAACCCTGGTTCTAGAGATCTACCTCATTGTTTCTGTGCTCATTGTCCATTTTATCAGCTCCACTTACTATATAGGTGCACTATTGTAGTTCTACAATTACAGACTGTAGTCCATTTGTTTCTCTGCATACTTTGTTAGCCCCCTTTTGCTCTGTTCTTCAGTGGTCAGGACCCCCATGGACCCTCACAGAGCAGGTACTATTTGGGTGGTGGATCATTCTCAGCACTGCAGTAACACTGACTTGGTGGTGGTGTGTTAGTGTGTGTTGTGCTGGTATGAGTGGATCAGACACAGCAGTGCTGCTGGAGTTTTTAAACACTGTGTCCACTCACTGTCCACTCTATTAGACACTCCTACCTTGTCAGTCCACCTTGTAGATGTAAAGTCAGAGACGATAGCTCATCTGCTGCTGCACAGTTTGTGTTGGTCATCCTCTAGTCCTTCATCAGTGGTCGCAGGACGCTGACCACAGGACGCTGTTGGCTGGATATTTTTGGGTGGTGGACTATTCTCAGTCCAGCAGTGACACTGAGGTGTTTAAAAACTCCAGCAGCACTGCTGTGTCTGATCCACTCAGACCAGCGCAACACACACTAACACACCACCACCACGTCAGTGTTACTGCGGTGCTGAGAATGATCCACCCCCCAAATAGTACCTGCTCTGTGAGGGCCCATGGGGGTCCTGACCATTGAAGAACAGGGTAAAAGGGGGCTAACAAAGTATGCAGAGAAACAGATGGACTACAGTCTGTAATTGTAGAACTACAAAGTGCTCCTATATAGTAAGTGGAGTTGATAAAATGGACGATGAGCGTAGAAACAAAGGGGTGGTCGTAATGTAATGACTGATCGGTGTATATATTTATGCACATATACATACACAGCACTCAAAAAAGTACAATAACACAGTTGTTTTAAAAAACAACCACACAGTGTTACTGATGCAAAGCATCAAAAGCCATTTGAGTGCAAATATCACCTCCTTGTGGAAAATCTTCAGCCTACTAAGTGTGAGTGAGCAAGTGAGTGAAAAAATTAGGAAATAGAAATACAATATTTGGGGTTTTTAAAGAGAATTCTAGTCAATTGGGCAGAAGACGAAGGCATGGGTTAATGTTTTGTGCGAAGTGGTGAGTAAAGGCTGAAAGCTGGCCATGCTACAGTGATGAAAAAATCAGAGAAGTTTTCACAGGCATACAGTCTTTGTCTATAGGACAGTTAGCTACAAGAGAAATGGGGCCTACCAGCACAATGTCTTCTGCAATCTTTTATGGTGATAATAGCAAATATGACACACAGATGATGTGTTATTGAATTTCTGCCAAAACTTAATGACATAGTAACATGGCAAGTCATTGGATCACTGAATCCCTTCATACCAAAAACAATTGTAATCAGGGTTGGGAAGATTATTATCAAAATGAATTCTCATAGCTTTATTTAAAGTGTTAAAACTGTAATCAGATGCAAAATCTAAAGGGTTACACATTGTGTTGAATATAAATGTGAATGTGCCTGTTTACCATTGCTGTTTGCTGAAAGTGGCTGTACACAACAAAATGAAGCATTAGCCATATTTCCACCTGATCACAGCATCCATGTAAAAAATAGGTATTTACATCATATTTGTCATTTTTTCATGCGCATCTTGTGTTTGGTGACACTACCTGTCGTGGTTTGAAATGGTCAATGTTTTTCACCTTATAACATTTACTGTGATCAAGATAATTTGTAATCATTATAAATATGTTACCCTATTATACTCAGTCATGACTGTAACATTTTTAAATATTGTTTTGCTTAGTACATGATGAGATTATGCCATCATTTTGAAATGTACCTCATATCTTTTATAAAAACAGCAAAGCACAAAATAAACAAGACAAGTAAAGCCGCTCTGATACAGAAATGAATGAGTAAAAGTAACTATTTTGAATCATAGTATATAATATTTTTTGCTTCTCTACTACAGTACATTTATTCCAATCCATTAGGTCTCTTATAAAAACTGTATAGAAGAACCTATAAGATTCATATAGTCTTGTATAATTTGTAAAATAATCTACAATGTCTCCATTTTCGTATTATATCCCTGTGTTACAGTGATCTATAATTCTTGTGCAGTATCCTGCAGTAAACTACGGCAATTTTAAAATTTATATAGCAGGGTGCAATAGGCCTACCTGAATTGGTCACTTGCAGGTAGGGGTGGGCAATATGACAATAGTTATCATTATCTATTACGTCACGATATGTTTTTTTTTGAGCGTATCGTGGATGATCAGTTCTTACCCACATGACGGTGACCCACAGGTTTCATAGCAAAGAGAGCATGATTAGCCTGTTATTGGATTTAGTGGGTTTTTTTCTGTGTCCCAACTTATTAAACCTCAGAAAAAATCTAAAAATATTGTGACGCATTTGTGTGTCGCGAAAATTTCTTGTAGTATGTTATAGTTGTTCCCTGTTACTAAAACGTAATGAAAATGTCATTTTTGATGGATTTATATCTATCTGTGATTCATAGACACTCCATATGCAGATTTGGGCATTTTTACCTACCTATTACTTGCTAAAATAAATAAAGACGAGAGAGAGAGAGAGAGAGAGGGAGAGGGAGAGAGAGGTGGGCTACGTGACATCAGCGCGTGCAGCATCTCTGCCTCTTCAGTGAAGGCTAAGCTAACGCTCGGTCCGCGTCCACGCCCAACACCAGCGCCGCTGCTTCACCATGAGGTAAAATAATTTATCCGAAATTCATTCTTTTTGCACTGTTTTTGAAAGGCAGCCTTGGATGAGATGGTTCGCGGTGTCTGAGCGGGTCTGTGTAATGACCGAACGGGCTTTGTGTCGTCGGAATGAAGCTGAGTCCTGAGGAGAATATGTATGAGGATGAGTGAGAGAGAGAGAGAGAGATAGAGAGAGAGCGGCGGAGATGTCTGTGTCCATGATTTACCACAGCACATATATCTGAATAGGGAAGGCACGAAATAAATATCCTGGACGTGTCTGCGTGTTCTCTGTATTCTGTATGACTCTGCATGATTTGGCTCATAGGCTAATCTGTATGAAACCTGCAAGGCGTTTTTTATTTTTCTTCTACACTGACGTCGCATCCACGACCAAGGTCGACGGCGAAGTCGTAGCTGGCTAGTTAGCTGCTCTAGCATTACCTGAGGGCTTTGGTCATTATCTGCGGATGGAAATAGAGGGGTTATGTCTGAGGGGCATTTCAATCCTTATAAATCAGCGTTCAGTGCGAACATTGCGCACATTTCGTTTGCACACCTTTCTTTGACTGTTGCGTCAATGAAAACCAAGAGGAAAAACGAGCCTCCATTGCATATTTCATACAGCCAGCGTCCCCATTTCAGAAAGCAAAAAAGACACACGATGGTGTAGAAAATGGTAGACTTCTCAGAGGTATTATCTTAAAAAAAAATACCCATAGAATAAGAGTGAGCTACTAGAAATCAGTGGGAGGGGATGGTGGTTCTCTGAGCAGGGATGAAGGTGTGAGGTGGTTAAGCTCAATAAGAAATGAATTGATTGAAAGCTCTGTGTTGGTCTGTTTGCTTCAGATGGGAGCCATTCAGTGTCAGTGTTAGCATTCAGTAGAATTATAAGATTAACTATCACCTGATAGCCTGTATCAGATGCCACTCAGTTTTATGGCATCTTAGGGATACACAATGATACTGGAATCATATCAATATCAGCAGATAATTGTTAAACAAAATTGGCATAGAGGTGGGCGATGTGGCATATATATACTATTGCAATACTTCAACAAATTTAACGAAACACAGTTTGTAACAATATATTTTTTCAGACTTCTGATCTTCTGAAACAAAGGAAAAATGAGCCTAGTGCTATGTTTTAATAAATACTGTCAAAAACTGAATACAAATTATTTTTATTCAGTATTTGGCATACTGTGCTGCACTAAATCCAGTTAAATGGCACAAATTTATGATCTCTCCCTCCCTCTCTCTCTCTCTCTCTCTCTCTCTGTATATATATATATATATGCTCTATTGCTCTATTTATGAAGAAACATGCAGCTTATCAGTGTTCTGCAAGCACTGATGACATGGACAATATGTTCAGAATATATTGTCATATTGCCCAGCCCTATGTTGACACATTTATTTTCTTCCGGAAGCAGAATGTTTGTCCAAAATGGCTACATTTCATTCATTTTACTGCACTGTAAACATTCTACAAATGCAGTAAAATTTGAATTGTAAAGTGGGTTTACCTCCATTTTCCATTTTGGAAATGTTTTGGCATCAGCATTGTCATCAACAAATACATGTATGAAAACTGCTGGGTATCAGCACCGGCCCAGAATGCCCATATATGTACATCCCTAGTAAGTCTACACATCAGTGGGGTTTCGTGTTTGACATGCATGAATTGGACAAGAACATGGAGGTGTATGTCAGAGACTTGACATATGGCAGAGAATTGACACAATAAGATGTAACAGTGCCTAATGTGACAATTTGGCTATAATAAATGTCTGTCATGCACATACTGGTACATTCAATACAACATCCAGTTGCCTACTTGTTGTGTACAAAAGGAGAATCAGTTGTTCAGTATTACGGTTGTTGCAGTATTTCTGCATGTCATTGCACCTTAAATTACATACATACATACATACTCTAAACCGCTTATCCTTCTGGGTCGCGGTGGGGTGCTGGAGCCTATCCCAGCTGTCACTGGGTGGAAGGCAGGATACACCCTGGACAGGTCGCCAGTCCATCGCAGGGCAGACAGACAGACATACACATTCACACACACATTTGCACCTTAAATTGTGTTGCCAAAAAAGTAGAAGGCAGTGCCACAGGCATAGAACAGCAGGATGAGTCAATCTTTGACCCCCTTGAAAAAGGCTAGACTCAAAAGTACCTCTTACGCAACGTTATGTAATGTTTTTTTTATTGGTGGGGCTTGAATATTACAATATGTCATTTTCATGTGTATTATAATCTTAGTGTTCAACAAGGATAGTGGAGCAGTGGACTTACAGACTGAGATATGGTTTAGAAACAAAGAGTTGTAAGCACAACCATTTCGTTTTAAAATAGTTAATTGTAGCCAGTCCTATTGTGATAGATCTGCACCTAGAGCTGCACATTGTGAGCATTCTGCAATATTACGATTATATAGATATTGAATTTCCATGCAAAATATTACAAATACATTGGTGAACCCTTGATGGGCTGAGGTTAAAGATTACTCAGCATTATTTTGATCAAATTTGTTTTTTATTCCTTTTGGATCATGACAGAAGCAAATATTGTGATACCAAGTATAAAATAGTACAACCAGTATATCATGCAGCCTTACCTGGTCTTAATTGTACATGAGCACTAATAAATTAAGGCCATGTGAAGTTCATGGTAAATATATACACAGACCTACAATTCCTGACTGAGGCTTTTAAGCCTAAATCCCAACAAAAGCAAATGGACTCACCTCAGCGCTGCTGTTCAGGGCTTTTACTAGATGTTTCTCTCAGATCAATAATTTTATATAACAATTGAGGGATTTTAGATCTTCCTAACACGTCAGTTTTGTATACTAAAATCTGCCTGAGTTTGTTCTGGATGCAGAGATGCAGAGAATACTAATGCTTGGACATTATAGTTGGAGCTAACAGTGTATTAGTGTATTAAGCCAGTATCATATTTTATTCAATTACACAGATATACCTTTTTTGTTCATGTTGATCGGGTTTTGTTCCCTGATCTCTCACTGCTTGGCAGTTGGGTCAGCAGGTTACATTTCTCTTCAGCAGTAATTGGACTTATTCGTACTTCACTGCAGACAAAAGCTCTGAAAAACATAGAAACGGTGTGTCTTGATAGATGTTGTACAAACTGCGCTGCAGAATGTCAGAATAAAGCAGAATAAAATCTGAAATAGTTTGAGCTAATGTGACCTACTACTTAAATATTTTTTATTATTTATATTAATAACTAGGCACTTGAGCACCTGAATACCCTTGCTTTACTTTTTTTACAACATAGTACTGTTTTTGCTTGATTACATTTGATTAATCAATTTTAATTACCTCCCACTTGACCCCTTGCTTTATTGTTTAAAGACAGAGAAGGTGAACAGCTATTTTATTATGTATAGCAGGAAAGACAGAGACAGCCATGTCTAATCATTGAATCACATTTTAATGGGGTGAATCTGATGCGTCTTGAGTTTTTTCAAATTAAAATGATTTTTTCTGCTCAATTCAAACCTCTTAAGTCAAACCTTTTGAGATCTCTTAAGTGTGAATGTCACACTTACACATACACTCACTGCAAAAATAGATTATAGATGTATTTAATAGATAATAGATGTATTTTTTTCCCTCAGACATTTACGTTCAGTTATGCACGTTGTTGCCTTTATTTTCAGTCTTATTTTCAGTTGCAGTTGCTGTTTAGTTAATGAAATAAAAAATAAAGATAGGTCTACATTACTTTTTAAAGTGCCTTTTAAACATGAGTCAACATCCTCATTTACCATGTGCCTTGTTTATGTTTATCTTTAAGACTGCTAAGTGGGGTGTCATTAAGTAAGGCACATTACTGGACATCGCCACTTAAACCAGCTGAATTAGCTTTGTTTCCAGGTCTTCGATTGACAATTCCAATCGATTGACAATGTCAGATCAGGACAGTTGCTGGAAAAAGCTGGTCAGTAGAGGTGGGTGTTTCCCATCATATTTGCCCTTAATGATGGTTAACGTCATATTGTGGTCAGGTTCATCTAATGTGCCCAGTGGGACTAGATGTGTGCTTGCTGGAAGTCATTTGAGAACATATCACTGTTTCTCCCTGTTACCAGTCAACCCAAAGGATAATATTCTATTGATCCCCACTTGATGAACAGTTCATATGCAGCTATGTCAAGCTAATGGAACCCAACCGGGTCTCGTACCCTTTCAGGACAGTCAGGACAGGACCTTAACTGAACTGAGCATTCACGATACACCTATAGGCAGCAGTGAGTTTGATGCTGTATTATATCAATTTGATACATCTGGCCAATATTAGGATGATGGCTTTGCATATTTAAAGAGGGAGCCCTTGTGTCCTTCAGAATTATGCATTGCAGAGATGAAATTTTGATGACTCATAGCAGCATCACACAGGCCTTTGGTCTGGTGAATTATTCAGTGACCTCAGTTTGGATGAAAATGCTCTGTTTGCTGGTGTCTCTGTTAGCAAGTCCTTGGCATTTTCACCATGCAGGCCAATCAGCAGGAGGGCACTGGTCAGCAATGTTCCACACCTACTGTCTGGCAGGGAGCAGCATTTAATTGAGTACAAACAGCCTCATTGTTTTCTGCAGAATAGCTATTTATCTAATTATTCACCATTACATTTGTTCAACCTTCTCGGTGAATTTATGTCATTAATCCCCAATTTTGGCACTGGGTGAGTAAATCTCTTCACAGGAATACAATTATGACTCCTTAAGAAACAATTCAGCGCATAATGAAATCTCAGATTTCACCATAATTAGAACGAAGGGTGGGTGATATGGGCAAAATAGAACATCATGATTGTTTAAAGCATTTTCATGATACACAATATATTATACAATAATGATAAATATTGTTCATTTGCCCAACCTTGATTTCATTCTGTTATTTTGGAATGACTCTGAATAATTAAAAAAACATATGTAAATATCAGTATTTATACTGTTACTGCAGG